ATGGACCGCGGAGCACGGGCGCTTGCCATGTCCTTGCTGCCAGACCTGGTCCAGTCTTTGCAAAACAGTCTCCCGCAACACGAGGACTGCTTGCTGCGAGTTTTTACTTTGAGTCGCTTATAGACCGCACGTTGGCCAGAGGACCGCAAGATGTTTGTGGAGGGACCGCTGGACCTGATCCTCGCCTGGCTCCGACTGCTCTTGAAGGTACTCACACAAGACCGCCAGAAAATTCGGCAAGATATCTCTGTTCTGACCAGTCTGCTGTGGTCGCTGGCGCACAACGTGCTCTTCGAACCCGCCGGTTCAGCGCCGGTGCTGCAAGAAACGCCAGATCATCTTTTTGTGCAGGGTTATCCTTTCCACAGTGTTCTGGAGAACATCGAGCAGTGCGCAAGAGAGAGACATGACATGTGGCGAATGACGCAGCAAGTGTCGGAAGGCCTCCTCCAGGCTGGGTGGGCTGTTAGCAAAACACCCTAATCCTTGAATCCGTAGTGGTTTTCCGCAGTGTTACAGGTTGCAAGACACAAGGCGATATTGGAACCCGGCAAGAGCTTGGAGCAGCTGTGGCGAACCGTGGAGTCAGCCAGCCAGGACGTTCTCGCAGTTTTGCGCTTGAAACACATGATTCATAGTTCTTGGGAGCTGCTGTTTTGATTCGGCAAGATCGCTGGCTGCCAGCAGCTGCAATAGAGCCTGTTGGATGCAAGCAAGAGTACAGAAAAGATCCTGCCAGAATCAGCATCTCAACAGTAAGAGCTACGACAATGGAGGAAAAGGATGCGCCCATCTTCTCAGTTGCTACATTGCGTGCATCTCTGAGTCAGTCATGTCATTAACCAACTACCTCATGACTCAGGCTTCTTCACTTCACTGAAATGCCGGAAACCCAACTCCGCATTCACTGTCCCCCTCCAGTGAGCAGAGACTTACTTTGGCTGTGTGCTGTTTGCATGCTGCAAGAGTCAGAAGAGATAACACGGCCATGGTGAAGTCCGGCCCAGAAATTGTCCTCGCCAGACCTGTTACACAGCTACGTTTGCCCAGGCAGAGCTTGCAGCGTGTGGCAGAGCCGTCGAAGGTGCGTCGGAGCAGCGGCTTTTCAATGTCTGGTAAGTCTGCACGACAACACTCCTACAAGGAGAAGTGCTATCATTACTAACTACTAGTGTTGCCAGTGAGTAGTAATACTAGTACAAGTAGGAGCACTTGTGCACTGCTACTCGTGCTCGTACTAGTACTGGTACGGTACTACTGATGACTACTTAACTAGGACCTTAGGTGCTCGTCAAGTGGTAGTACTAGTACCAGTACTGGTACTAGTACTGCTACTAATACCCGTGGTAGTAGCAGTAGTAGTCATAGTAGTAGTAGTAGTAGTAGTAGTAGTAGTAGTAGTAGTGGTAGTGGTGGTAGTAGTAGTAGTAGTAGTAGTAGTAGTACTAGTAGTAGTAGTAGTAGTAGTAGTAGTAGTAGTAGTAGTAGTAGTAGTAGTAGTAGTACTAGTAGTCGTCGTAGTAGTAGTTGTAGCAGGTAGTAGTAGTAGTAGTAGTAGTAGTAGTAGTAGTAGTAGTCGTCAGTAGTAGTAGTAGTAGTAGTAGTAGTAGTCGTAGTAGTAGTAGCAGTAGTAGTAGTAGTAGTAGTGGAGGTGGTGGTGGTGGTAGTAGTAGTAGTAGTCGTAGTAGTAGTAGTAGTAGTAGTAGTAGTAGTAGTAGTAGTAGTAGTAGTAGGTAGTAGGCTAGTATTAGTACTAGTAGCAGTAGTAGCAGTAGTAGAGTAGTAGTAGTAGTAGTAGTAGTAGTAGTAGTAGTAGTAGTAGTAGTAGTACTAGTAGTGGTACTAGTAGTAGAACTGAGCAATAACAATCGTAGTAGTAGTCACTTATACTACTACTACCACTACTACTACTACTACTACTACTACTACTACTACTACTACTACTACTACTACTACTACTACTACTACTACTGCACTACTACTACTACTACTACTACTACTACTACTACTACTACTACTACTACTACTACTACTACTACTACTACTACTACTACTACTACTACTACTACTACTACTATTACGACTACTACTACTACTACTACTACTACTACTACTACTACTACTACTACTACTACTACTACTACTACTACTACTACTACTACTACTACTACTACTACTACTACTACTACTACTACTACTACTACTACTACTACTACTACGTACTACTACTACTACTACTACTACTACTACTACTACTACTACTACTACTACTACTACTACTACTACTACTACTACTACTACTACTACTACCAGTACTGCTACCACTACTACTACTACTACTATTACTACTACTACTACTACTACTACAACTACTACTACTACTACTACTACTACTACTACTACTACTACTACTAACTGCTACAATGATTACTGTACTACTATTTCTACCTGATTTATTCTTACTACACTGCTATTTGCAATTACGACAATTACACTCTGAACCTTACTATGCAGGCGTCTCCTGCCTGAGCACCTTAGCTTGTATAGCAGACTTGTTTCAATGACATCTCTTCGTGTCAGGTTTGCTGCTTTGCCGACATTTCGACCGAAGACAGCATTGGGGCTGTTTCAGGACCGTGTATACCAGAGAAGTGCAGTTCATGTTGCAGATAAAGTTGTGCATCCAAGAACGATCTGCAGTGTCCCGCTGCAGCACTTCTTTCCAGTGAGGGGCGCCTAGGGATGTTCCACGCCGTCTTTTTATGTTTCGTGCAGTCTTCGCAGTTTCGATTATCAGGTAGTTCTTCACATGATTACCCTTGACTCAGTCAGTCAGCCTGTGGCAGAACCGCAACGCCACAACTTTTGAATCACAACTGCGTTGACAACGGTCAGCAAGATCACGCTGTCGTCTGCCATGGAAAGAGGCCAGCGGCCCCCGGACGCGAGATTCGATGCCGACTCTTGCCTGCGCGTGAAGCATGACGCGGAGACCTTCCGTGTCCTCAGGCACGCCGGACGGGCAAGAGTCAGCAACACGTTAACTGGCGAAAGCCACTTCTTCGATGAGCCAGAGAACACCCAGGCAATCGTACGTGTGAGCCGCCAGACCGGCTGGTCGTACCTTCGCATTGGCGAGACCACAGAGTGGCTTAACAAGGTCTTTTCCTGGTCCGTCTGGCGAGACGCGGCCTCGCAAGAGCTCTTTGCCAAGATGTCGACTGTGGACGGGGTCAGACTGAAGTGGCTGCCTGCTTTTCAGGAGGATCGTCTCCTCCTCTACCCGCCAGATGACCACGAGGCCAAGGTCAGAGCAAAGACGTTAAGATGCAGTTAAACAGTTAGGGAGATGAATCGATCGGCCTTGGCTTGCAGTTCCTGGTGAATAAATAATGTGCCCTGACAGGTCTTCCGGGGCGTCCACGAACAAGAGCAGCTGCTGTTTGTGCTACAGTTTGCCTTGCCGCTGGACGGGTATCATTTCTGGTGGCGTTTACAGAACTTCCAGAAAGGCAAGAATCCTCACAACTTCCTTGGGACGTGCAAGAAGAGTTGGTCCGAGATGGCTTCTGCCATTCTGGGAAGCCAGAAGCATTTCCTGTGGCCGTACAGATCCCGGCAAGATCGCCACGGCATGCCGGGAGAGATGGCAGCACATGAAGTCTGCGGAAGCACAGTTCTGGTGCTCCTTGTCACTCTGTCCGGTGCGGTTTCTGGCAAGGATGCGACCACGCGCAAGGCCTGCGGTGACTGGCTGAGCAAAGTCATGAACGCTGTTGCAACAGAAGTGAGGCTGACTTTGCAACCTCCTTCCGACCACGAACCTGTGGAGGTCACCGTAGTCCAGGGTCGAGTTCACTTCGAAGAGCTGGCAAAAGCATGCAAGAGGTCAAACATCAGCGTCAAGGGACTGCGCCTGAGTAAAGAGCATGATCTTCTGCAGTTTCTGAGAGACATACGATTGAAAGAAAAAAAGCGATGGCTTTTGTGCCAGATTCTGGAGCAACTTGCTGCTGCAATGGAGCAACAGATGTTTTTCGTGGATTGGCAGGACGGCACGCCAGATATGGCGCAGCAAGGTCACCGTCGAGATCCGGTACAGCGTGTGAGAAACGTCGTGGAAGCGCGCCAGAAAGCATGGAATGCCAGAGAAAAAAAAAAACGCAAGCGGCAAGATGAAGCTCAAGAGAGTGAACGCAAGAAAATCAAGCTCACAAGGCAGCAAAAAGCAGCTCTCAAGGCAAGAAGTATTGTGGCAAGAAGCTTGCTGACGAGAAAGGACAAGGACCTGGAGAGAGCCTCCTATTACAAGACTCTGTTGGCGGCAACCTGGGGCGCAAGACACCTGAACGTGTGCTTCGACTCCTCCCGCGTCGGTGGTCGCAAGATCACGTCCTACGCCTGCATGAACTTGGCAAGTGGCGAGTGTGGCTGGGCACCACCGCAGGCCAATCAGAGCCAGAAATTCATTAATATTAATTAAAGAGTTAATAAATAATGTTAAAAGGCTCATTAAACTAATGGAGTCGCTTCTGTCTTCCCTCAGGTGCACCAGGACTCCGGCCACCAGATTCCTGGCCAGAGAGACGACTCGCTAGAAACTGCGGGTATTGGGCCCATCGATGTCAGGTCGATCCTTCGAGCCTTGGGCTGTCAATGGAAGACATTCAAGCTGAGTTGGCGTTCTTTTGCAAACCAACGTAAGAGGCTGGATACACGTCCGCCAAAGACTACGTCTAAGTAGATCTAAGCGGTCAGTTTAGTTTGTCATGCTTGCTCTCGACCATTTGCTTAAGAAGCTGAGGGCAAGATCGCAAACGAGACTTGGAAGATGCTGAAGCCGAGACTCTGTCCATCCGCAAGAAGCCCGCCTGCAGACTAAGCACGTACGACCAAGTGCTGGCTTTGGATCACATCGTCAAGCTCACCAACAACGCCAGAGGACTCGTGGCTTTTGCGCCAGAAAATGAGGAGGAAGAGAAAATGCAAGACGCTGAACCGTTGGGCAAGACACAAGTCTTGGTGTGCTGTACAGACCACGGCACTGATGCTCAAGCTTGCAAGATGTTCCTCATGTTCCACGCAAGACTCCGCAGCATCTTCATCTACGACCCCAGGCACACGCTACAGCGTGTCCTGCAGAATGCGCAGACCTATGGAAACTACAGCGCAAGATGGGCCAATGCGCTCATAAGCTGGACACGAGGTCCCTGGGGTGGCATGAAGTGGGAGCGCATCGTCGCAGAAGAAGTTACGAGTTTTCTGGAGACGCTGAAGAAGAAACAAAGACAGCAAGAGACCTCTGCAGAATGGGAGATCATGAAGTTCTTTCTTCCACACGTGGCCATGGAAATTGGTGTCGCCGAGCACGATCTCAGTGTGCCAGACATCATCCGCCTCTTGCAAGGCAGCAGCATCGGCAAGAAGCACAT